TCTTAGTTCTTACCTCCCATTCCCTTCTTTGAACATTTTAATTGCTCATATTAGGTGTGGCAGCACAGGCCTGAAATCCTAGCATTTAAGGAGACAGAGGCAGGCAGATCAAGATCAAAAGTTCAAGTCTGGGACTAGAGAGATGGCTCAATGGTTAAGAGCACAAGCTGCTCTTACAAAGGACCTGGGTTCACTTGCCGGCATCTGCATGATGGCTTACAACCACCTTACCTCCAGTTCCAGGTAATTTAATGCCGTCTGGCCTTTTGCAGATTCCTGCATGTACATAGTACATACACATGCATTTATTGACATACACATAAAAGAAAAATGGAACAGGTTGGGCATGGTGGTGCATGTCTTTAACCATATCAGTTGGGGGGCAAAAGCAGGCCAGCCTGGTCTATATACTGAGTTCTAGGTTAGCCAGGGCTACATACAGAAACATTCTCAAATTAAAATAAATAAATAAATAAATAAATAAATAAATAAATAAATAAATAAATGGAATTCTTTAATGGGTTCACGGTCACTGTGGTGGTTTGAATGAGAACAGTGTCCACAGGCACCTATCTCTGAGTACATGGTCCTCAGTGGTGGAACTGTTTGGGAAGGATTAGGAGGTATGTAGCCTTGTTAGAGGAAGTGTGTCACTGGGAGGGGTGGGTCTTGAGGTTTCAAAAGCTCACACCATTCTCAGTTAGCACTGTTTCTCCTCTCTCTCAAGCCTCATGCTCGTGTCTCAAGATGGAAGCTCTCAACACCATACTTGCCTGTTGGCTGTCATACTCCTCACCTTGATGGTTATGGACTCACCCTCTGGAACTATAAGCCCCCAATAAATTCTTCTACAAGTTGTCTTGGTCATGGTATCTTTTTCTTTCCACAACTTATAGAAGAGTTTATTCAGGGCTTACAGTTAAGAGTCCATGATCGAAGAGTGGAAGTACCAAAGGTGATAGGAACGGCAGCAGAGAATTCACACACATCTTAATCCAAAAAAAGGAAGTAAAGAGAGAGATCACTTGAAACTGTAGGAGTCCTTTTGAAACCTGAAAGCCCACCTGTATAACATACCTTCTCCAGCAAGGGTATATCTCCTAATCATCTACAAACAACCACTGTGGAGCAAATATGCAAATGTTGGAGACTTATAGGAGATCTCATTCAAACCACCACACCAACTATGCCTGCTCCTATGCTATCTCAAACCTCTCCTGAAGGGTGGGAGACGCCAGTATGGAGGCTACACAGTGTATACCCACAGAATCCTTTCTTCTGTCTCCTACTTTCCAACGCTAGACTGTGTGGACTTCCTATTCCTGACCTCTGAAAACAAAGCTTTCTTTTCTCTGTCCTGTAACATGACCTTCTTAGTGTTTCCTACAGGGGAAACTAACCATCTCTTCTCCTTCTCAGCCTTCCTCCATGTCCTCTTAGGGATCCTTCCTGGTGGGGCCACTAAACCCCCATCCACCAGCCTTCACTGTAGATGCTTGTAGAATGTATTTCTTACGACATCGCTTTAGACTCAGGGCGGGAAATGCGCTACCAGCCCCTGCCCAGAGAAGACTGGATCCATGGATGGAAACAACACACACACACACACACACACACACACACACACACACACACACACAC